GGGGGGTATAGAGTGCGTATCGGGAATAAGAATGAAATGTATCGTTATTGTATGTCTTTGAGTGAGTGAGTGTGAGAATGAGGCTGGGACTGTGTGATTGTGTCTGTGTATGAATGGGTATTTGTTAGGCCGAGACTCGGACTGCCCCCTCTTTGATACAACAGCGGGTGCTTGGCATCGCGCCCCTATCACGCGGCCCCCTGGTGGGGTGTGCCCTTGCCTGCCGGCGCGCTTGGGGCCCTTGGTGTCGGGGGCTGGGCGCTTGGGCGTGTGTCGACTCGGCCTGGTGTCTGCCTGGTGGGGCTCGGGTCCTCTGGCCCTGTCAGGCCTTGGCCTGGGTGGTGTGAGTCCTCGGTGCCCGGGCCTGGACCTGCATCGGTGCGGCGGGTTCCGGCGGGGTCCTATGAGTTTGTCGCTGTTGGCCCCGGGGGGTCACTGTATGCGGTCGCTGGTGGGGATCTTCCGGCTCTCCCCTGTGGTCCGATCTGGGGGGTGGGCGAGTGGTTCGTCCTGTGTGGGTGGCCCTGGGGGCTCCGCGGTCTGGGTCCCTCCTGGGGTCTTGGGCTCTGGTCCCCCCTTTTTCGTCTTCCTCTGGTCTTGGGGGTCGGGTCTCTGCTGCTTCACAGTTACTATTAAATGTTCTATTAGAGAAGCCTTATACACTTATGCATGCTCACAACCACACACAAATAGAAGCAAGGATGCTTATGTAGGCTTTATATGTAGATATATAGATATATATATATGAATGTATATTCATGTGTATGTATGTATGTATATAGGCGTAGGTATGGGCATATATATTTATGGAAACTAACTGCAAAGCCATGAATATTTTAAGTTCTTTATACATATGTATTTTGTTGCTGTGTTTTGTCATGTTCTTTCCAGGTGAACAGACAGTGGCCGTGTGTTTTGCCGTGTGCTCTCTTTGTGTATATTTCTTATATTTTGGAGTCTTACTTTGTCTTTTCTTTCTTTCTATACCATTAAAAAATAAAAAATAAAAAATAAACCTACACTAGATAGTCACTAGAATAAATATTTCATAATAATGGTGTGGAGAGGATGGCTGTAAGGGGAGAAGGGAGGCCATCTAAAAAAAAAAAAAAAAAAAGAACTACGTTAAGTGTCGGCAGTTGTTGCGGGGTGCGGAGGTGAAATGCGTAACACTGCTTTAGAGTTAGCATTTGTAACTGGGATGTGTAGGGGGGTATAGCGAAGCACTATGCTTGTATTACGCACGGTTTGCAGTCTGAACTGAGTTTCTAATCTCCGCTTCCCACCCGGAAGTGGCAGAGCAGAGTTGGGGGTGGGGGACTTGCTAGGCAGGACACTCAGTCCTGTTGGCAGGGTGGGGCTCCCTTTTCAGATAATGGATAAAAATTGCTGCCTGTTATTGAGAAGGTTTGCCTACAGTCATTTTATAATAGGTTTAGCTAAAAACAACATCATGCAAATTGTTTTTGGGAATTTGAGAGTGCTATGAGAGGACTGGTAAAATCACTAGATTACTATGCTACTTAGATTATCTGACCATGGTATAACATAAAAGTTACTTTAGGACCCGTAGAGTCATGCCAAGGCAAAGTCAGACTCTGGATAGTAACCTGAACTGAACAGGTTAAAAAGGTACACGACTATCCACCGGTCATGTGCACAACAACCTTGTTTCATTCTATCCTACAAGCACAGGTGTAACTAACATGTTAATTATATGTGAGTGGAATTTATTTTGTTTAGGCTCTGATATAGACCATCTTACATTGAGGCCTCATTGTCCTGGGCTCACTTCCTTGCTGTGGCCTTCTGCATGGAGTTTGCACTTTGCCAAAAATGACTCTAACTTTTCTTTTAAAGCACTTTACGTTAATTGTTGCTGAAATATGCTATGTAAATAAAGCTGCCTTGCCTTTAGACCTGAACATTTAAAGTTGTAATCTATGATGGGATTTTTGTCAGTGGAGAGCTCCTATGCAAGTGCTATATCCCTCTTAAGAGGGTTTGAGATGTCCTCCACACCTCCTCCTTCAGCACCCTGTCACATGCTTTTTCTAAATCTTCAAAGACACAATTGAGTTCTTTCTGGCCCTCTCTGTACTTCTCTATCAGCATCCTCAAAGCAAAGATGGCATATGTCGTGCTCTTTCTTGGCATGAAACCATACTGCTGCTCACAACTAGTCACTTCTCATCAAAGTCTAACTTCCACAGCTCCCTCCCAGATCTTCATTGTGTAACTCATCCACATAATTCCCCTGTAGTTGCTACAACTCTGTACATCACCCTTGTGCTTAATAATAGGCACCAGCACGCTTCTTCTCCTTTTCCTCAGTCATTTTCTCACCCTCATATATGCCATTGAATATTTGAGTCTGAAACCTCACTGCCATCTCTCCTAGACATTTCCAAACCTCCACTGGTATGTCATCAGGTCCTACTGCCTTCCCCTTCTTCACTGCTTTCAGAGCTTTCTGGACTTCACCCTCACTAATCTTTCCCACTTCCTGGTCCACAGTTTATATGACCGCTACTCTTTTTTCTCGTTCATTCTCTTCATTCATTAGCTCCTCAAAGTACTCCTTCCATCTTCTCGTCACACTCTCCTCATTTGATAGAACATTACCATTTCTATCTTTAACAAACCTAACCTGCTGCATATCCTTTCCAGCCTGATCCCCCTGTCTCACCAATCTGTACAAGTCCTTATCACCCTCTTTAGTGCTCAGCCTCCCATACAACTCATTTACCTTCTGCTTTGCCTTTGCCACCTCCCTCTTAGCTCTAACGCAATCTGAGACGCCTGTGTAAAACTGAAAAATGGTTCTAAGATTTCAAGAGACACGGGAGAAATGTCACACTCAAGCTTGTGTCAAAATATTTTATCCTAAAAAATTTGTGGAAATCTTGTTTCAAGGACACAGGATGTTGTTCCAGCCAGTCCAGTCAAATGTCTCCCTACATCCATGACATCCAGACTGTTCTCTACATTGTATCTCCTTATATTCCTGTCTCCTCTCTTCAGTTCTCTCACTGTCATATTTTCTCTTGGCTAACTCTTTCTTTGAATAGCTTCCTGCACTTCAATAATGTCCATAACAAAGAATCAAGAATAGTTCGAAATGCTCACAACCGCAACAAATTGTCTAATGATGCTTTCAAACACGTTAAAATTTCAAGCAACAAGACTGTAAGTGATATTTTGTGCAGCAAGCACTCATGCAAGGGAATTGAGAATTCTGCAAATGTTTAGAGACATTTAAGAGAATCCCTTATAAAAGCTGCTCTCATATGAGTTACTGACAGTTGCGGTTCAGTAAGATAATGGCTTCAGGCGCCAAACTCTGACATTAACAATTTGACCTAAAACTTGCGAGTTGGTTCTGAGAGTTTTTTTGAATACTCACGGCAGTCATGATGCGGGTGCTCATCAGTCCCATCACCGCAGTCATTAACCTCGTTACACACCTTCCTCTGACCAATACAGCGTCCATTCCCACACTGAAACTGGTCAGGAGCACATGGAGGACTCTCTGCAGATGTGATAATACTTGTTTACTTCATAACATCAAGTTAGTTAAAACCTATGTAGAACAAAGAGTTTTATTATTCTCATCTGCTTCAGCATTAGTTCATGCAAAGTGTTTGCAGTATCATTGTAATCCAAGATTTTAGTTAAAGTGAAGTAAAAAAGCATTTTTACAACTATGGAAATTTAAAAAAATGGTTATTCAGCAATTTTATAGTGAATTTAGGTAAAAAAGAAAGAAAAACACAAATATAACCACATTTTCTCTGCTGCTTCTTTATTTATTTTAGTCTCTAAATGGATCTAAAATGTGTATTTCGCCCAAAAAACTCAAAACTGATTTTCTTCATAGAGGCTGGCTCTGCTGGGTCGTTGCCATGACGACAAGAAGCTTGTGTTATATTTAGCCTATGAAAGCACAACTTCGTCTTACCAGTTTTCTCACAGCCCTCTTCATCACTGCGATCCGAGCAGTCATCTTCACCATCACATCTCCATGACAACCGGACACAACGTCCAGTTCCACACCGGAACTGGTCAGCCGTGCACATGGACGTGGCTGCAGGACACATGGACGCATACACTCAGACAAAAATATGAGTTCCTTCAGTCTGAGAGCCGGTGAAATTAGGTTTTTGATTCTGCTTCACAAGAGTAAGGTTTTTCTTTCTTTCTTTTTAATTATTTTAAACCTGCCCTCTTTCAGAACAGTCCAGGTAGGCTTGTTCTTTGGGCCAGAAGCTACTCACTGCAGTTTTTCTCATCCGACTGGTCGTCGCAGTCGTGCTCGCCATCACATCTCCAGCCAGAGTTGATGCACATGCCACTGCTGCACATGAATTCAACCGACCTGCAGGGCTGGTGGGAAGCTGAAGATATATACAATGTTCATTAGTGCTTTTACTGCAGACGGGTCAGAACATTGTCACAGAAACACTTTTAGGTTGAAACTTCAAGGAGGTAGTGAAAACTTTTTCTTTCTTTCTCTTTAAAGGTAATTTTTCCCCCCCTGTAAAAGTATCGATAACTATATATA